ACCCCTCTGGAAGAGGGTTTTTCTCTGGGTAGAGCAGAGTAGCAGACAGGGACATTTGGAGCCAGCCAGTCAAAAAGGTCCAGGAGTGGGAAGAAAACATCTTAGAGGAGGATCTCTGTGGTCCCCAGGGTAGAAATTTTCTAAGTTTCCAAAGAAGAATGTCAGGGGAAAGCTCACCCCTACGGCCTTCTGCCATTTCCAAAGCAAGGCCAGAATTCAGTGAGTTTAAGCAAATGGAAGTACTTACAGCAAGTTGATGTTTGCTCATGACCCTGGAGGGTCATGTGACTGGTCCTAGAAGAGACCAGGGGAGCCCCCACTCACCAGCCACACCCCTTCCCTTCCTCCCCTTGACCAGCATGGCACCAGCTTCTAGGATCTCTACTCTCTATCACATCCTACCAGGGAAACGTGCCTGCCACTCACATCTCTCACTCCCAGCTCAGCCCACCTTTTATAATAAAATCCTTCTTTACATAAGAAACAACACAAACTCATGACCCACGTGGACAGATACCCCAGGCTCCACAGAGTCCTACCAAATGTGTGGTTGTGAGCTGCCAGGTAGATGCTAGGAATCAAACCTGGGCCCTCTGCTGAAGCGTCTCAAGCTCCAAGAGCTAAGAAAATTTTATTGGAGAGAGAGAGAAAGGAATAAGAATCAGGTGCACACGCATGCACCCCACCCCCTGCTCCCTTCAGATGAACTGAGAACAGTTAACACATGCTTAAAGTCCCAGCACCAAGGAAGGGTGAGAGGCAGGAGAGTCACTGGAAGTTGAAAACTGGGCAACAGAGTGAAAACATCTTTAATTTTAAAAAAAGAAAAAAAGGGCTGGATAAAGTTAGAGAGTCATTCTGCTAGATTGCACACAGAATGAGAAAATCCGCCTTACTTCCGATTGTCAGAAAAACATCTCACCCTTTCTGCATGGGTGAGAGAAAGGGGCACTAATGCCAGCATCCTACCACCTCTCTTGCTCTATGCTTTTCCGGAGCAGCCCATTCCAGCTGTCGGGGAGTGACTAATGGGTGGTCCTGATGCCCTCTGAATCCAGTTGCCCATAAATCCATTGGATGGGGATGCACCTTCCAATCCAAGATAAGGTGTATGATCACTATGCTGTATCACGTTGGTTCTACCAGGCCCCCTAAGAGCCTGTGCAGGGGCCTCTTTTCTCTTCCAGAGTAAAGCTTTAAAAAAAAACAAATCCCTCATATAGCATTCAGCTTCCAATTCCGCTCAACAAAAGCCGAGCAATGGGAAGCCTGCCTGGTACAGCTCGCTTTTATTTTTCTGAAGTCCCTATTACCGTTTTTAAAAAGACTTCTCCACATTCCAGAGAAAAAGATGAGAAGTTTATAAAAATTATAACTTTCTATCAATCCTCCAAGTGTCTTGCTGTTTACCGAAGCATTGCAATTTGTTTTTAATCATTTCATCTTCCCATTAAAAAAAAAAAAAAAAAACAGGGAAATAAACACTCAGCTGAAGTTGCCCAAGGTGGCACAGTCAAGCCGGAAGGTAATGCTGAAATTCTCCACGTTTACACAGTACCCTAATGAGTCAATGCCAAGTTCCCGATACAGGGAGAGCAAGTGTGCCAAATGCTACTACACTGGCCAACCAGCCTTCCCCCTGCAAGGCATGGCGGGAGCGCTAACTGGCAAGCCAGTGTCCCAACAGCTTTGCACACAGGGCTGCTGAAAGATCGTGCGTGCATGTGCGCACACACACACACACACACAGAGGCAACAGAGGCGGGGCTGAGCAGAAATGGCCTGAGCACGAGCCATGCCAGGGGTTTAGTCAACAAAGAGCTAATAGGAGTCAACAGCGGGTGCCGCTGCCAAGCACACCAACCAGAGGGATCTGCAGCCACACTGGTAGTAGGAAAGTGCCTGGCTCCCTCAGACCAGACCATACCTGAAGGCTGCACATGGCTGAACTAACAGGAGGGAGGTGCCCTCCACGGCAGGGCCAGGTTTCTGAAAAGACATGACTCAGGGTGGCACTCTGAGTGTCACCTGGCAGGTGGGCTTGAACGCCAAGCCCACTGTGGACTGCATGTTACAGGTGGGGGGTTAAAGACCACCTTCTCCATGTTTTAGCCACAACTGGGAAAGCACTGACTATCTACATGAAGGGTTCAAAACTTCCAGGAAGGCTAGCAGATGCAACCAACCAGACCACCCAACTCCAAGTCTGTTGGAGGGGGACTCACTAGGAAAATGACAGTGGCGACTTCCTTTACTAATTATGCCAGCTTGACCGTGGCTTTGCCAAGTGACAGAGGATTTAAGATGCTATCATTTCAACATCAAAAACTTCAGGAAGTCCTTGGACCCCCACAGCCCACACATTCCACTTCCCACTAGGGAGTGTCTCCCTTTATTAGCATCACCCAGAACACAAAACCATCTTTCCAAAGGTGTCTCCCAAGAGCCTCCAGGCCATGCCTCACTGACCTTTGTGCTCATAGCGAGTAGCTTAGCACACTCCAGACACCCCATAAAGGATGAGTAACTGCGCCGAGGTGCCACAGCCTGGTCATACTGAGGGTGTTACTGTGTTTGAGGCCATTTTAGAACACACTCTCCTGTCCTGAGAGGGGCTAATAAAAAAGGGTTACGACAACACATTGCCACTTTTGTACGCTGGGCAAAGGAATTCTTGAAGCTAGGGCCGCCCGAGGGTTTTAATTACAAAGGAGTCATAGACTGGCCAGGTCCCCGGGTCTATATGGAAGTGATCCAATACAGAAGGAAGCTTAGGGGTATCAGGTCAAAGGTAAATGCTGTCAGGCAAGGTCAGAGCCCAGGGAGTAGTAAGAATCCAGAAACAGCCGAGCAGGCACAGGTGGGGTCAAATGCCTAGAAGGAGACCTAAAAAGGGAATCCAGTAAGGTGGGTCTAAGGAACGGCACAAACACTACAAAATCAGAGGGAAGTCGGCTCAGCCTCCTAACTGGGAGAATTAATTACAGGAACTAACACTGAGCTCTGGGAAGACTGGTGGAGGAGCCTGAATGATGCAATTCTAGTATCTAATAAATCTTTAAATCAATGAGCCATGTTTACTGGTAATTTTTCTTCATCTCCCCTCCCTGAGAGCTCACACGACAGAGCCAGCATTTGCTTTTTGTTTGTCTGTGGACACGGTGCGCAGTTTTATGTCTGGATGTATAAATAACTCGGAGCTCAGTAAATCGCACGTCTTTTAAAAGGGCATCAAAAATATCTGCCATCAAAAGGAAACCTGAGATGGAGGGATTTTTTCTGCACATATACATATATATAAATATAAACCTTTTAGGATGCCTGCCTGTGTTCCCATCCCCCCATGGCCCCGACAACTGCAGTAAGCCAGCATTCCAACCTGTTCGTTTGTGGACCTGTTTGGATCTCTTTAGCACACAGGCACTTTACTCCATTTGCAGTGTTTCAACTCAGAAACACCACTTAAGCCTGTCGCACAAACCTGACAGTAGCAATACATTTTATAAGCTAGCTATCCCTGGGGAAGAGACAAGAACCCCCGCCCCGGCAAGGAGCACCACCGACAAAGTTCCCAAGGAGAGCATTCCTTTGCCAGATGCAAACTGCGCCACATCCTCTCCCTATCCAAGCTGCCCACTCACCTCGCCTCTGCTCCCCATCTCGGGCTGCCTCATCAGAGCTGGGAGCCTGGGAAGCAGGGACATGAATGCTTTTTAAAAGGCAACAGCTCTGGGCTGGGGAATGTTGGCACCTTTTCTATGAAAAGGCCCCGCAAGGGTATTTTTATGACAAAATGCTCTCCCATGGAGCACAAAAACCACAAAATTAAACTACCATAAATTGAAACTGTCTCCAAATCAAACCCACACGGAAGAAGCATTAGAGCCCAGGTCAGGTAGGCTGATTTTTCTCATCTGAAACCCTTACAGGTTAAGAGTTCTCTAAGTCCAAAAAAATTCCTGCCACCCAGGAAGGCCTAAACGTTCCTCCGGACAATCTGTAACTCATCTAAGGCTCAATTACTGCGGTGTCTTCAGTCATACCCAAAGATTCCCGAAGGCACCGTCTGCCGCAGCGCCGAGTGCACAGTGGGCGCCCCGTTAGTGCGTCGGTTTGATTGGATCTGACTGGCCCCGACTGGCCCCTTCGGCCAGAAACGTTCTTGGTGGCCGGACTCCCTGCTGGAGATACTGGCGCTGGCCTAGCTTGCCACTGGAACTGGGCCCTGGTGCAACCACCTGTGGGTGTGTGGCCGGGACACAGGTCCCTGCGCTGCCACCCCGGGATGCCCAGCGCGTCCCATGCACATTGCCCAGTGTGGGAGCGAGTCGGGAGGCCAGTCCAGAGGGGGCTGGGGCCAACTCCCAGAACCCTAAGGCCTTTGCCCGTTCAAAGTTGACCTGGCTTGACAGTTGACTCCCAAGTCGCCCCACCCCCTGCGAGGTTGTGAGCCAGGGGGCTCTTTAAGATAGGAATGGAGGACATCCATAAGGGATCGGCCAGGGCCGAGAGGTAAAACTGTTCCCTGGCCCTCTTTTCAAACTTGGGGCCCCTGCTGGGCAGCAGGTAAGGGTTTCTTCTCCAATGTCTCATCAAGGCCTGACACCAAAATCGAGATATCCCAGGGAAGCCCTGCAACGCTTAAAAAAATTCTACTTAAGCCAGCATCGGAAGGCCAATATTGGCAGGGAACGCCGGCCACCTGCGCCAAAGGAGGGGACGCGGGACATGGGGACAGCGTGCAATGGGGTAAGAGTAAGGCCCAAAAACCTAGGTGGGCGCCAAAGAAAACGCAACCCTGTGGTGCAAGGTGCCAAAGACTGGGCCCCGCAGCGTATGCGGGCTTGGTGGTCCGGGAGGGTTCAGGCTGGAGAGGACTGGCAGAAGATGGGGGAGGGGTCCCCGAAGAGCGGCCCGGGAAGCTTCCCTGAGGAAAACACTGGGGAAGGGGGCTCTGCCCCAAGGGGCGCAGGCTACCATGGCCCCGCCGCGTCACTCACCGGCAGGTCCACGCTCACTTCGGTTCCGTCGAGCAGGAAGACGCGGCAGTAGAGGGTGGCCTTGGCCGCTCCAGAGGCGGAGATGTGCACAGCCGCGCCGCCCGTGAGCAGGGGCCCGCCGCCGGCCGGGAACACGCTGCCCCCGGGCGCGGCGGGCAGCACCGAGGAGCTGGCAGCGGCGGCCGGGCCCCCTCGCGGCCCCCCGTCGCGCTCGTCCGCCAGCCCGGCGGCCCCGCGCCCCGCCGCGCCCCGCGCGTAGCGCTGCATGGAGCGGCGGCCAAAGGTCCGGCGCAGGAACCGCAGCATCCTGGCCGGGGGCGCCCCCTGCCTCCGCCCCCTGCGCTGTCGCCGCGCCGCCGCCCGGGAGCGCCCGGCGCCGCCGTCAGTGCCCGCCGCGCCGCACCTCCTCCCGCGGGCTGCGGCCCGGGGCTCGCTCCCGCCCCAGCCGAGGCGGAGGCCGCGCTCCGGCCGCCCGCGGGGCGCGTCGGCCCAGCCAGCGCCCGGCGCGAGTAGCCGCGCGGGAGAGAGCGCGCACGATCGGCTCTGGGGACCGTCCCGCTGCTGTCGCCGCTGCGCGCTTGAAGGGGCGGGCGGTCGGTGCCGGCTACTGCGTAGCCGCTGTCCCCGCCGAAGAGCGCTGCAGGGGGACCTGGCTGCGGGCTGCTCCCGCGCCGCCCGCCGGCCGAGGGCCAGCCGGAGCAGAGCGCCTGCGTGCTCCCGGCGCGCTCGCTCCCAATCGCGCCGCGCCCGGCCGGAGGAGGCCCCCGCCGAGCGCCCGCTCCCGGGGCGCCTTTTCCTGCGCCCGCAGCCCCCGCCTCCCACCTGGGAGGGCTGCACCTCCAGCCGCCGCCGCCGCCGGCACTGCAGCACGCCCTCCTCCCCCGGGGCTGCGCCGGGCCTGTGCTGCCCCCTGCCGGCCCGAGTGCCCCCTGCTGCTGTAGGTGCGCTCACGTGCGTACACGTAGGTGAGCACACACGTGTTTCCGGGCGCACAGGACCCCCTGAAAAGTCCGAGAGTTTCCCCCTCCTTGGTCGGATGAAGAAAACAAGGCTGTCTCCTTTCTGGGAAAACTTGTTCCTGCAGCAAAGAACAACACGTCTCTTTGTGAAAGAGAAACCAAAACACAACTACACTCAGTTTCCCCTTCTGCAGATGTGGAGTAGGCGACCTGTTCCCTGCTACTTAATTAGATTCTATCAGTTTAAAAATCTCAGCTTTAACATTGCAAGCCAATGGACTCGTTCCAAATCAGAAAATTGAAGCCTGAGAGGAGGGGAAGTACTTTTCCGTACTCCTTAGGAGACACCCTGCTTCAAGGACCTCTCTCGTGCCCAGAATTGAGGCACGGGCCTGCATAAACAGTTGCTACTGAGAAGGTTGGTCAAGGTTGGACGGACTTCTGGGAAGCGCAGTAGAACCGGGGCCATGAGAATGAATTGCGCAGGACGCATGGAGGATACTGGAGACAGCGAATTGCTGACGAGGGTTGCCCACGGGTTCAGGGCTTGCCCATGGACAGACAAGTGCGTTGTCCCCTGCTGCTGAATGAGGAAAGTGGGAAATGAAGCTGAAAGGAGGCCAGGCCTTGGGAGAATAACGCTCCCGTTTATCAGGTCCTAATTTTGTGCCAGACACGACTCTAAGCCCTTCCCATATGTCTTCATTTAGCCTACTTGCATACAGGTTATTATCCCGGTTACACAAAGGAGGAAACTGAGGTGTAGGGAGCTGGAGGGACTGTCGTACAGTGACTCCTCGGCTTGGCTCCAGAGCTACTGGTGGAACATGGAACATGATTGGCGAACAAATGCCAGTTTTCAGAGAGTAGAGGAAGCAGGGGCCTCAGCAAAACAGAGAAGACAGGGGCTGAATGTAGGAGTAATTTCAAAACACATTTCTTGAAAACCAGGCATTATCTTGGGTGATTTCATCATTTGCATCTTTATTAACCCTCATTCCCGCTTTCCCAGATCGTTCTCTATCTTCCTATGTACTTGCATGGATTTTGGAGCTTACGTATGTAATATGCTTGCCCAGGGTCTGAGCACTGCCTGGCATTCATTTCTGTGATATTATGGGGACCACCCATGTGACGGTATACTCTGAGAGGCGCCTACAATGAGCCATTAGACACCCACTCTGCTCTCACCTCCATGACAGATTTAACAAATACTATTCACAAGGTGGCATAGCCCCAGAGAGCAGACTGGTTTCTGAGGCTATCTCCAGGAACACTGCAGTAGAAGGAGAAATAGCCAGTAAAAAGATGCCCACCTTGGCATTTTACATTTGTATTGTGGGGTTTCCCTGTATGTGGCAAAGAGGAGCTTTAATGGTTGAGTTAAAAAGGCTAAGGAGGGGGGATTAACTCACTATTGTAACCAGTGGACTCAAAAGGAACTGTGTTAGGAGAGGCAGGAGGGTCAGAGTGAGAGAAGGAACTGTGGCAAGGCAACAACTGTCCAAATAAGGGTCCCGAAATTGAGGGATACAGGCACCGTCTAGAACAGTGTTTCTCAACCTGTGGGTCACGACCCCTTTGTATTCAATATTTATATTACAACTCACGGCAGTTATAAAGTAGCAATGAAAATCATTTTAGGGTCAGGGTTACCACAACATAAGGAACCTATTAAAGGGTCACAGCATTAGGAAGGTTGAGAAGCGCTGCTCTAGAAGATTTTAAAAAGAAGTGTATTAACACCCTAGAGTCTAGAAGGAAAGCAATGTGGATTTCAGCCTATAAGATCCATCTCGAGCTCTGGAATGGTGAAACAACACTTTGATGTTGGTTTGAGTCACTGGATCTGAATATGTCTTCATGTTAGTCAAGTAGGAAGCAAGGCAGGTGTGCCCCATCATGTCAGTCTGGAGCATCGCAGCATCACGAGCATCGTCTGGGTGTGGCTTTCAGAGGCCCTCTCCTGGTGGACTCAGGGCTCCATGAAGACAAGACTTTTTCTCATTCATCTGTGTATCCCCACCCAGCACCTAGCTAGTAAGTAGCAAGCACTTATCAGATACTTGTGGAATGGCCCCAGCATCCCACTTCCTCCTCCCGGTGGTTATGGAGGGTATACTATGTTATTTCCTGAGAGAGGAGGAAAAGGAAAGTGAAGAGAGCCTAGATGCCCCCACTTGCGACTCCGTGCAGCTCTAATGGCTACTGACAGCGTCACCCTGAATTACATGGGGATTCCTGTATGTCAAGCCCTGCCCGCTAATGGCTCTCATCCCATTTTAGCTTCGGCGTGGTGGAGAAATAGCTGTCCAGACATTACTTTAACAACGGCTCTTGTCACTAACGTTTCAGCCTCAGTGTTTCAACATTTAATGAGCAAACTCGTATTTCACAGTTACAGGACTGTGTGTTCTAACAGCTGCCCTTTCTCTCTTGCTGCCTTCAGACCCTACAGCGCCTAGCTGTTCTGTCTAAAATCTATAACCAGTCCCTCAAAGATTTTAATAGTCTTTGATTCGACCACTCCTCCCTCGTTATGAGTACTATGACTCAGCTAGAGCTGCTTTGCATACGAATGCGCCATCCTTTTTTATCTATTTGCCCGTATGTATTTGTGTGTGCATGCGTGTATGCATGCAGAAGCCAGAGGCTGATGTTGGGTTTTTCCTTCATCACTCGCTACCTACTTTTTGAGATGGGCTGTCCGGTTGAATCTGAAGCTCGCTGACTGAGATAGACTGGGTAGCCGGTAAGTCCCAGGAATCCTGTCTTCTCCACTTCCCTAGCACTGGGATTGCGGGCGGTGCTGTCCCGCATGGCTTTTCTGTATGTGTTCTAGGGATTAAAGTCAGTTCCTCATGCTTGTGTGGCAAGCACTTCACCAACTGAGCCATTTCCTCCACTCCCCAACGCATCCCTCCCTTAATGACATTTTCGTCCTTAAACTACTCTTCAGAACCTCGTTGCTATGACTCTGGATGCCTGTGTCCTTTCAAAATTCATGAGGCGGGGCCTTTGGGAGGTGGTTGTGTCGTGGGGACTCTGCTTCCTTGAGGAAAACTGGTGTCTTTGTAAGAGACACTTACAAAGCGTCTTGCCCTTTGGGCCATGGGAGGACACAGCAAGGTGTCACCTATATTACAGACCAGAGGCCCTCACCAAACACCTTACCTGCTGGTACCTTCATTTTGAATTTCCCAGTTTCCTGGCACTATGGAAAATAAATTTGTATTGCTTGTGGTGTTCTTTGGTTGAAGCACGCTGAATGAACTAAGACACCAATATTTCTCATGCATGTCTATCTAGAACCACCTCAGGGATGCTCAGGACATTCTACACTGACTTCCAGGTCTTCTCCTGGGCTATAAGCAGTAGCTTCACCTTAGCTGTATATGAGCATCCAGGGTAGGATCCGTAGCACCTCCGCCTTCCATCTCCACCTTAGAGCTCATGTGTTAACGGGCCATCGTTGACGAGCTCCCTTCCACGGGCGTTTCCCGTCTCTACTCGGGAGGTCTGGGCTGTCAACATCTCTTGACATTTCCTGTAGACCTCCCTGCCTCCTGAGTAATCATAGCATTAATTAAATAACCCTTAGCCTTGTTTCTAAGGGATTTCTAGAAATGTATCATTTGACCCAATCCTTTGTTTCCTGTATTGCGGCTCAATGAAATTGTATCCGAATCCCACTGGGCTCCTTTCCCTCCACCAAAAGAAGACTGCACTTGAATGTGTGTTTCTACTTCCTCCTTTGTAATTTTATTCTTTCCATAACACTCCTTGAGGTTATTATGTAATACAGTCTTTCTGCAAATGTTTCGTCCATATCCACTTTCATGGGTTTGTGGATGTGCACGTGTGTGCACAGGCTAGAGATCACATGTCATTCCTGAGACAATGTCCACTTGAAACACTGTCTCGCTGTCCTGCAACTTACTGACTGGGCTAGGATGGCTGGCCAATGAGGCCGAGGGATCCACCTCCCCGTACTGGAGTTAAAAGAACTCACTACCATGGCTGGCTTTTAAATTTTCCTTAGAGTAGGTCTGGAACTCAAACTCAGGTCCTTGTCCTTGCAGGACAAGCAAGCATTTCACCAACTGAGCTCTCTTCTCAGCTCCACACAGCAACTTACAGCAGAGTGGACAGCTATGGTTTCTACCAAGCTAATGTCCATTTTCCTTTCTTGAGTTACCATGCAGAACCATTCTGTCCTGACCTAATGGCTTAAAGGTCTCGAGCAGTGCTTCTCAACCTTCTTAACGCTGTGACCCTTTAATACAGTTCTTCATGTCGTGGTGACCCCAAACCATAAAATTATTCTGTTGCTACTTCATAACTGTAACTTTGAACTGTTATGAATCATAATGTAAATATCTGATATGCATGATATTGGATATGTGACCTTGGGGGGGGAGGGGTCCCGATCCACAGGTTGAGAACCACTGGTTCAGAAGACTGACTCCATCTTCTGCCTCAGGTGTGGGACATGTGAGCAGGCCTGGCCAATCACGCGGATGCATGCCCTCTCTCCTGCCAGAGTCCCTTCACTAGCCCAGGAATGGGCAGACCAGTGAAGGCTAGCTCTGGAACTCAGGCAGCACTTTCTTTCCATTGCTAGAGCATCCGTTGGCTGTGCACTGCTTCCCATAGGTCCGCCTTGACATCAGATGGAGAAAACCTGAGGATGGTACCGAGACACAGAGGGGCAGAATCAAGGGACACAGGAAACACACATTGCTGATGACAATTTGTCACCATGGCCTACATCCGGCCATGCCTGACGCTTGACACACCTCCTGAAATACAGTTGGAAGAAAAGGAAGACGATGGTAGGATAAGATATAAATAAATGTACAAATATATAAGTCACATGACCCGGCGTGATGTGATCAGGGCAGAGTCAAGATTGGGATGGTTTCCCAAGTGCTGGGTTTTCTCTTTGCTCCTCTGTTCTCTTTCTTGAGCATGGGACATAAATACTATTTCAAATGTATTCAGTTTGTTCATCGTTTGAAGGACTTGTCTCCAGGCAAATAATTAGCAACTCCCATCACTAAATCGTGAAGAACTAGGTGAATAGTTAGAGGTAACCTAAGATTTTAATCCAGAGGTGGCAAAATGACTTGGATGTCTGCAAGATTCCCAAGTCTATGTCTTCAGCCAATCTTTTTCTTCTGCTCCACATCGTATTTGGGATCTGCCTCAACATCTAAGCTCTAGATCTCCACTACAAACACCTATTCCCTATCCCTGGGTCTAGACATAAGAGATCGCATCTAGAAGGAAATGGTGCCTCTTTGCCTGCTGGCAGCCTGAGCATGGATTTCCTAACCAAGAAGCCCTTTCTTCCTTGAAGGCTATGCATACTGCTTTGGGAATACACCCATGGCTCTGCTAGGATGATTGCTCTAGGCAAACCCAAGGCACACAGAGAGTGAGAGAGGGCATTTCTTATAGTGCCCGTTCACCCTGCTGCTTCCCGGCCTCCCTCTCCAATATGCCCAATAGGCTCACTTCTACTAGACATCTCTCGTAAGCTCTCCTGTCCCTTACTGATGTGTGACTTTTGCTGGGAACACATGAGCAAATGTCTTTTACCCTAGAAAAGATACTGATGACAGAGTAAAGAAAATGATTCCACCCAAGTCTAGCTTGGTAGACCAATGAGTTTATTGGGGTTGCTTACATGGTATTCAAAGGCAGCTGCATCACCAAAACGCCACCTCAGCACAGGCAACAACTCATGAAAGCTGTGTCCCTGGAGCTCCACCCCAACCCCAGCCTCCAGAAACTGTTTTATGCTCATAACTTTCTGAACACAAAAACTTATGAAGTTGCTTTAGCTTTCTGGGTCTTTTTTTTTTAACTTTTGGTTTTTTGAGACAGGGTTTCTCTACGTAACAGTCCTGGCCGTCCTGGAACTCACTCTGTAGACAAGACTGGCCTTGAGCTTACAGAGATTCACCTGCCTCTGCCTCCTGAGTGCTGGGATTATTTATAGACATGCATCACCACTACCTGACTGAGCTTTCTGAATCTTATGAGGTGCCCTTCCCCCTCCAGGAGGGAATAGTTTAGTCTAGAAAGAATAACTACACATTTACTCTTTCTTGGAATACTTTTTGCCTTTGCTTCTTTTCCAACCATTGGACTAAAATCAATGTTGTAAAGTAGAACTCTCTGCAGTAGTAGATCTTGTGTGTGTGTGCGTGTGCATGTATGTATACATACGTGTGTGTGTGCATGCATGTGTGTGCGTGTGTGCGTGCATGTGTGTGGTATATGCACGGGAGAGCACATGTTGTGTAGAAGCCAGAGGTATGTCAGGCATCCTTCTCACTCCATCTTATTTCCTTGAGACAGGGTTTCTCATTGACCCTAAAGCTTAGGGTTTTTCAGCCGAATCGACTGACCAGCCAGCCCTGAAGCTCTAGCTACCTCCTGCCCCACCCCATCCCCAAAGGTGGAGTTATAGCTGTGTGCCCTGCCAAGCCCTGGCTTTTTTTGTGGGTGCCTAAGACCTATACTCACATTCTCATGCTTGTGAAGAAAGTACTCCAAACTACAGAGTCAACTCCTTAGCCCAGCTAAGGGGCTATTTGTTTAGTATGTGTATGGGTGTCTGTAGGGGTGTGCACACGCACATGCCCTCGTCAGCATATAGGCCACAGCATGTATGTGGACCTCAGCACACAACTTTAGGGGAAACTGATTCTCTCCTGCCTTGGAGTTTCCAGGGTCTGAACTCAGGTCATCAAGATGGGTGGCAAGCTCCCTTTCCCATGGAACCATCTTGCCAGCTCCTACGAGCCACTGTTAAATGACCATTGAGCACTGGGAAGTTGTTAATATGACCAAGGCCCTTAATTTATCTCCTTTAAACTTAAACAGTCACAAGTAACTTGGTCATCATAAGGGTCAAGGCAGGCTTGCCCAGCATCTCACCCTATCGCCTTTAGATGAAATAATCCCCCTTGCCTTTGATCTGCTCCAGTTGGAAGGGTCTAGATCCAGGGAGGTATCCCTTTTACTGGATCCCTGGTGACTGACATTAGACTTCAGATGCCTGGTCGAGTCATAAGACAAAAAAAAAAAAATGTGCTATCAAATCACTCAGCCATGGTGGTTCAGGACTCTAACCTCAGCTATGTGGGGCACTGGGTCAAGTCCAGCCTGGGTAACTTAGACTTTGCTTCAAGAGAAAAAAAAAAAGACTAGGAAGACAGCTAAGTACTAGATTACTTACGGGATGCAGCCAAGTAATAGAGTACATATCTCAGGTATGCACAACCCTGAGCTTAACACCCAGTACTGGAAAAAAATAACTTTTATTTATTTATTTCTTAACCACATACCTAGCTGCTGTCAACTTAGTCCAAAACAAGGTGACCCTTCTTCTCCTGGGAGGCCCTCAGCATCTCGGCTGCTGCTGCTGCTGCTGCTGCTGAGGGAGGCTTTGGAGTTGCTGTCACGGTCAGAGCTCCCAGTGGAAGTAGCGTTCCATCTCCAGGAGCCCGAGCTGACGTGACACAGCCAGTGAGTAGGAGTCAGAGACACAAAAGCCACCTTCCCTGTCTGACTCCAGTGTAGACTCCAGGTGCTGAGAGAAAGGAACTGGAGGAAGAGGGGGAGATGAGTCGAGCCAGATGCATTCATTCCGTGGAAGCACTGATGAGCACCTGGTCGACGAAGAGCCCTGGCAGTAGGCCTGCTGGGCACCCTGTGCTTGACCTTCTGCTGCATGGTGTGACTCAAGCTACACTAGAGGTTGGAGGTGTGTACGGTAGAGCCAGACCATGCAAGCGTCTCCGCATCAAAGGGAGGCAGGCAGTGAAGGATCTGGGGAAAAAAAAAAAAAAAGAACAGGAACTTCCTGCTGGCTCTGGTTAGACGATTCTCTCCTCCATAAAATGGGCAAAATAATCCCACCAATTTGATTATGCTTCTTTATGACGTCATGATGTGGCCAACCAGATAACACAAGGCCCAAAATAAGTGCCCCGTGACCTGCAAAGCTTTATAAAGATGTCAGGCCGGGAGAAGTGGGTACACAGAACCTAGGTGGGGCTCAGAGTCTGGACACAGGTTTGGGCATGGTTTTCCTTGCAATATTTACAAGGCTGATACATTTTAGAAGGTATTAAAGTGAAAGAGATGTTTGTCTAAAAAGCAAACATGGCACTGGGCCTTCAGGGACAGAATGGTGTTTCCTGAGGCTGGAGGGAAGACAGGCTAGAGGAGGTGGGCGGGGCTGGACACTGACACCTGCTTATCAGAATTGTCCTGTTTTTTCCATTCCCAAGGGACTAACAGAAAGGATAACACCTCTGTCTTCCTGCAGAGAGTTATGGCCTAGTAAGGGCTGTCACAGATACTTACTGCTAGACTTAATTACTCTTCCCCTCCCATCCCCCATCCCAGCAGGGAGATGTCTCCTGAGGGAACAAGGGCTCAGAACAGTGGGATGTCCCGGGTCACACTGCTACCCAGCAGCAGCAGGCTGGCTGGGGAGTCTCTCAGTCCCACAGCCATGTGTCTGGCCTCCTTCCCACCCTGTGGCCTCTCTAAACTGAAACCAGGCTCTTTCAGGGGCCACACCCAGCTCCTCCAGCACTGACTCATTGGGAGGAGATAGAGGCTGGTTCTTTGCTCCCCACAGCTAGTTTCTGGCCTAGAAGGCACCCCTCTCTCTTCACCTCCTGTCCTGAAAACATTGCCCCTCATCTCTCCAGTCTTGTGTTCCCTTTGTCTGAGCTCTTAGAAATAAAGGCAGGCTTTCTGATGAGACTCGGTGGGAGCCACAGCAGCTTTGCCCGTTGCTCCCTGCTCTACCCTTGGGACTCCCAAGGGACAAAGCCGCTGTGGCCACAGCCACCAGATATGCCATGCTGTTTGTGTCTCTGACCTCTCCTTTGCTTTGGGCTGTTTCTTCCTCCAGGCAGTAGCTGCTCCAGGAGCAGAGGCGAGTGTACTCAGGTGTGGGTGTGAGGAACAGAGGGCCACATTCTTGAGTGCCATTTTTCCTTTACGCTTAGTGACCCAGCTCACAGGTAAACTGGCCTCACCCGGGTGCTGGCATGCGACCCATCAGATTAACGTTCTCTGTTCTGAAGCAGAGCTGAGAGGTGGGCAGGAGTCCTCGCTGCTGTGGGGAGCTGGGCATAGTCTTTCTGTCAACAGTTGAAATAAAGCAAGGAACATCTATCTCCCCTCTCCCCCATTCTCCGGTCTCTATATACCCATCTCTAGCGCTTTCAACACCTCTGCTTGATCTCTTGGACCACTGGACCCCCTCCGCCCTGTCTTCTCTCCCTTCTAACTTATCCATCGCCCACCATCGCTTCCTTTCCCCAAGGGAAATGGATCAAACTATTCTCCCACTTAAAATCTTTCAATGGGGCTGGTACAAGGATCACAGGTAAAGATGGCAGAGTTGTACTAGTCTGGAAGGGGGACCTGGCTGTCCGTTGTCTATGGACTTAGCTCTGCCACTCACCCCATCCTGAATGCTAAATTGTCGCTCTTTAGTCACACTAAAATGCCTTCCCAGCATCACATGTAAATCCGGGCCCTCTCAAATACGGCTGCTCTTCTTTAGGGTAAATTCTTGTTCACCTCTGGGGTCCCAGGTAAGGCCTTTTCTGGGTCAGGACGTGATATTGTTAGTACTATGTACACCTGCACCCCCTCTGTGCGTAGAGTAGGCTGTCATTCTGTGCTAAGAGGTAACAGTGTTTAGCAGTCACAGAGGATGACTACTACAGAGAAGGAAGTAGGAGACACACACACACACACACACACACACACACACCCCATGGCGAGGGATGGGCTGCGAGGGGCCAAGGAGGCAGGTATAAGATAGCTCCATGTTCTCCTCCTCAGTAGCTGCCTACACTGTCTCTACTTAGACCAAGAGGACTTTGGTAATTAGTTTTTTGTTTTTGTTTTTTGTTTTTGTCAACATGACACAAGCTAGGATCCTCTGGGAAGAGGGAACCTCAATTGAGAAGACACGTCCATTAGATTGTCTTATAAGCAAGTCTGTGGGCACTCTCTTGATTCATAACTGATGTGGGAGGGCCCAAACCTCGGGTGGAGCCACTCCTGGGCAGGTGGTCCTGTATAAGAAAGCAAGCAATACTGGCCGTGGTGGCACATACCTTTGATCCCAGCACTCTGGAGGCAGAGGCAGGTGGATCTCTATGAGTTCCAGGACAGCCTGGTCTACAGATTAAGTTCCAGGACAGCCAGGTCTATGTAGAAAGACCCTCTCTCAAAAATCAGAAAGAGAGAAAGAAAGAAAGAAAGAAAGAAAGAAAGAAAGAAAGAAAGAAAGAAAGAAAGAAAGAAATCTGCTTTAGTTCCTGTCTCCAGATTCCTGCCTCAAGTTCCTGCCTTGACTTTAGTTCATGGTGGGCTGTAAGGTATAAGAGAAAATAAGCCCTTTTCTCTCCAGGTTGCTTTTGGTCGTGGTGTTTATCACGGCAGTAGAAACCAAAGCAGCACCAGGGCTTTGAAGGGGACGCTCCTCTTATTTATGTCTTTGTTCCCTGCTGTACACAGGTCTGGTGGAGGGAATGCCTTCAGAATGGACAGGCTGGAACCTGCCGGGAAGGCAGTATCAGTGTGTCTAGCCAAGAGGGGAGAGAATCATGCTCAGCCTGTGAGTGGTAGGGTGCTGTGTTCCAGAAATTTCAGGTGTTGGCTGCCTAACTCTGTCTGCTCCTTGGCCTTTCATGGCCCCCTCTAGAGACCATCAGTATCGAGGGGGGATTATAAAGTCTCAACACTTATCCCTGGTAGAGCTCTCTCCCAAGTCCCTTACACACACACACACATACACACACTCACACACAGAGAACTGTGCCCAATGTCAGGCAGTGAGGGTGGGCATTAGGGTCTAGGCCAAAAGTATTAGTGGCAGGCAACATACGAATCTTGACTGTGCCACTCACTGGCTGTGTGATGACCTTGGGCACAGAATATGAGCCCTTGCGACTTAGTTTCTCTTCTGGAACAGAAATATGATAATAATATTGGCCTCACAGGTCTCCTGTGGGTAGGTAACGATGCGAAGCATGTAAGCTATGCTTGGTAAGTACCCAATAAACGGCAATTGTTATTGTTAGTGTTAGTGGTTGCGTTATTATCGATAATTTTATATCCATTAAAAACATAGGAACCTTCTGGTTGGAACCTGACTGGCCTGGCAGCGGGCCCAGGGGAGGAAGGGCACACACATAGGCAGGATAGCACAAAGGTCAGTGGCTCAGGACCTGGGGTCAGGGGTGTATGGTCAGATAACCACATGCATTGGGGCTGAGAGAAAAGAACTGAGAAAGGGAAGAAGTGAGAGAAGGCGGAGAAGCTGAAAGAAAGAGAGAGAAAGAAGAGGGTGGGTGCTGGTTGTAGGCTGTGTCTAAGTGAACCAGCTCCAAGGAACAGAAGCCTGCAAACCGGTCTGGGCAGTCCCAAGCTAGGCTGCTTGGGCTGGCATCCAGAGGGAGTAGGCCTGGCCCAGCACAGAGCCCTTGGGTGCTGCCTGAGGCCTCTTCTACCTGGGAGGTGCTGTCGGGGGGGTCCCACCCCACCCTTCTGGCTCTGGGAAGGAGACAATGGCTGCTTCGCTGACAACTGCAGCCGGCACTCTACCTCAGAGTGACCTCGCCTCATGTCCCTCAGAGCCACGGTTGAAACCCCTTTCCAGCAAGGGTGCCAGGATCACTTGACAGGAAAGAGACAGTGACTTCGACAAACTGTGCCGGGAACACTGTCATGTCCTTATCTGATACCATGTGCAGACCCGACTCAGTGGTTGACGCGTAAACACTACACCTTAGGAGAAAAGCATCAGCAGAAGATGCTCCTGACGTCGGGCTCGGAGTGGGTTTTTTTTTTTGGCAAGGACACCAGAAAAAGAAAGTACACACTTTAAAATGATAAACTTTTGCACAGCAAATGACAAGGGACAGCCTGAGGAGGAGGAGGAGAAATATTCGCAAAGGCACGCTTCATAAGAAATTAGCACCTAGAACCTTTCTATGTATGTGGAGAATATGTATAGGGGTTGGAGAGAAGGCTCAGCAGTTAAGAACATCTGATTGCTTATAGATGACCAGAGTTTGAGTCTCGGCACCCACACTGCAGCTCAGGACTGTCATTAACTCTGTCCTAGGGGAGCTGATGCCCTCTTCCGGCCCCCAAGGAAGAACACACATGAAGGCAAATCACCCACACACGCTTTAAAAAAAAAAAAAGGAGTGTATATATAAAGAACACCTAAAATTCAAAACAGTATAGCATTCATTACATATAACCTTCCCGGCCTTGTCCTTCTTCGGTTGTACTTAGTACCTAGTAAAACACAGCTACCATGTAAGTAGTTACTATACTGGACTGTCCAGTGAATAATAACAAAACAAAATGTCCAGACATGTTAAGTAAGACATAAGTTTTTTTTTCCCTGAAAATAAAAAGCAACTTTTGGGGTACTGAGGTAGAACCCGGGCCTTATTTATACTAAATATGCCCTCTGTCACGGAGCTACACCATCTCTGATTTTTTTTTATTCCAAACCAGTTAAACCTTCAGATCTGAAACCTGTGACTACAAGGGCCAACTGTGACTCTTTCCAAACATTTCGTTCATATGTATTTTAAGAAAATAGCATTCTATAACTCAAACAAAAACGTGTGCTGTGAACATTTTAAACACACATTTGAAAATATAAGAAAACACAACTGTAGACTAAAGGGTAGTCTATAATATATACATAGTCTCTACCTTATAAACAGCTTTATTATTTTATGTATGTAGATGTTTTGGCTGCATGCGTGTCTGTGTACTGAGTGATACAGTGCCCTCAGAGGCCAGAAGAGGCTTTGGGAATGGGATTACAGATAACTGTGAGCTGCCATGTGGGTCCTCTGGAAGAACAGCCGGTAATCTTAACCACTGAGCTGTTTCTCCAGTCCATATTTTATAACTTTGAGCCAATGAACAACAGACTATGTGGACTGACGTTTCTGCCCTTGGATACTTATGTTCTGATGGTGGTGGGGGTTAAAAAAAAAAGACAAATAAGAGTAAGGTGTGTGTGTTAACTAAATAAAAATAAGGTTGTTTCTGACATGCCATATGGTAGCTTTGATTGCTTTTTCAGTATTAGAGATTGAGCAGAGGGTCTTGAACATGGTCGGCAAAGCCCACCATTAAGCTATAGCCAAGCCCTCTTTTAGCTTTTTGTTTTCAATCCAACTCTCATTAAGTTATCCCGACTGGCCTTGAGATACTCCTGTTTCCATTTCTGGAGTAGCTGATATGAAAGGCTTGCACCAGGCCTGGCTTTTCGTTTTGTTTTGTTATTGAGACAGGGTGTTGCTATCTAGCCCAGGCTGGCCTGGAACTCGTCCGTGCTCCTGCCTCTGTCTCCGGAATGCTGGTATTATGTGTGTAATGTGCTATGTGCTATGACACGAAGCCTGACTCCTTTTCTTCTTCTTCCTTTTAAATCAGTACTGGGAACCAAAGCCATGGCCTGATGTATTCCAGGCAAATGTTTTTTCCACGGAGCCATCTCCCCACCCTCCAAATGGTACTCCCAGTGCCGATAATCCTGAGATGAAACCGACATCCCCCAGTTAATCAATTATCCTACAGTTATACAGCCCAATAGAAGGCACCGTGCAGTAATAAACAGAAAGATAGTTACATCTTAGGTTTAGTGATCCCTATGCTAGCAATCAACCTAAGAAAATATTGAACAGAAAGCTGACTCTGGAGCACCAGGTACCACCCATCAATTAACACAGCACGGGCTCCGTCAGAGGAGAAATCTTCAAGTGGGAGGTATGAGGTGAGGCCTAAGTGTCCTGTCCAAAGCGATCAAGCATATATTAAATTAAACTGGGTAGATAGATGTTTGAATTACTTGAGATATCAAAAAAAAAAAAAAACGAAATCCCAGGCTCTACCCATTTTATATAAAATCAGCCTCTGGCTGTGTCTTAGTTGGGATTTCTATCACTGTAAAGAAACACCATGAGCCGGACGGTGGTGGCACACGCCTTTAATCCCAGCACTCGGGAGGCAGAGGCAGGAGAGAGTTCGAGGCCAGCCTGGTCTACAAGAGCTAGTTCCAGGACAGGAACCAAAAAAAACTACGGAGAAACCCTGTCTCGAAAAATCAAAAAGAAAGAAAGAAAGAAAGAAAGAAAGAAAGAAAGAAAGAAAGAAAGAAAGAAAGAAAGAAAGAAAGAAAGAAAGACCATGACCATTAACTACCTGGGGGGAAAAGGTTCATTTCAGGTTACAACCTCTCAGGTCACCCTACATCACTGAGAGGAGTCGGGGCAGGAACTCAAGGCAAGAACCTTGGAGGCAGGAGCAGAAGCTGGGGCCTTTGGAAGAGTGCTGCTTACTGCTTGCTTTCGGTGATTTGCTCAGTTTGCTTTCTTATACAGCACAGGACGCCTGCCCAGGCTGGCATCAATCAAGAAAAGGCTCGACACAGCTGCCTGCAGGCCAGCCCTAGGGAAGCATCTTCTGGATCAAGAATCCTTCCTCCCAGATGCCCCTGCCTTGTGTCAAATTGACATTAAAAACTAGCCCGCACAGATCCGGAGCTCCCTAAATTGTGATATTTGCCCCCCTTCCTTGTCCCCAACTGTTATCTTGTGTCCTGTTCTCCCTGCTTAAGGTCTAGAGAGAATGACTGTGACAGAAATGGGAGACATTATTTTGTGCCAAGTCATATGTCACTGGTCTGCTGATGAGATTGGCTGATCAGGGGTCAGTGCTCAGCGATAATCTTACCAGCTGGGCAGTGGTCCAGGAGACAGTTCCCGTTGCTTTCCTGCCTCTCTTCTCCCTTGGGCCTGTGTTCGGAAAAGTCAGGCTGGGCTGCAAAGACAATCATGAAAATCTCTTGTGAATCGCTGGGGAGGGGAGAGATTATGACGCCCGATTTTTAGTTGCTAAGAAATCCAACCCAAAGTTTAGCATGAACGGCGGTAGAAAACTCTCAGCAAGTAAAGCTGGCTTCCTGGGCCAACAGAGGAATAAATATTCTGTGGCCAACAGCCACTGAGGCAATTAGCAAACATAACCTCCAGGGGCCTGGACTTCGGCCCTCCCACAAATCTCAGCAATACTACCTCCTCTCCCGTCAGCTTTTTATGTAGCACTTTCCCAAATTATTTTAGCAAATTAGCAGTTTGGAATCTCACACTCCACTTCAGCGAGCCATGCCAACCTCGCCCTGCTCAGAGGCAGTCTTTTGGACGCGGACCGTGCAATGTGTCTTCCTGCCGAAGTCTGGCCAAATAGTCTGGTTAACTGAGGAGAGGCCTCTGCGGATGGAGCTGCCCCGGGGCACAGAGAAGCCACAATGACTGGAGGTACAAGAAAAAGGAGGCGCTAAGAAGAAACGAGGCTGCCGTTTAACCCTTCCAAAGCATCACAGAGCAAGCAGAGGTCCTTAGGTGTGACTGTGACTTTCACTCACCACCAGATGACTGGCACTTACGGGGGGGGGGGGGGGGGGGAGCGCTTGGTGGGATGGGCCTGTCACTCGTCCTGGCTGGCCTGGAACTCACAAAACTGGCTTCATCTTGTAGCAACCCTCTTGTTTCTGCCTCCCGAGTGCTGGAATTACAGCTAATGCAACCTCCACAACTGTTATTTATGTAATTGAAATAAACCATTAAAAAAAAAAAACAAAAGCAAAACAGAGGCCACGCCATGGTAACTAATTTATTTATTTTGCTTACTTACTTATTTCTATTTTATGTGCGTTGGTGTTGTGCCTGCATGGATGTCTGTGCAACACTTGCATGTCTGGCACCCTTAGACGCCAGGAGAAGGTGTCACATTCCCGGGAACTTGAGTTACAGACAGTTGTGAGCCACCATGCTCCTGTTGGTAATCAGGCCTGAGGCCTCTGGAAGAACTCTTAACCCCGAGCCATCTCTCCAGACTCAGTGCCGTCTCTTGAACAAAACTGTCGACTTCCATTCCTTTGCTCCTGAGACAGCATCCTGGTGAGCAGTAGTCACTCACGTCTGGGGGATGCTGCAGGAGACGGTGCAGGTGGGAAGCAGGCTGTGTGTGGCTGCAGAAAGAGCCTCTGGGCAGAACTTACGAGCAGTAGTCTCCCTAACGTGTGTTGTGCACTGTGCCCATCTTACAGACAAAAGCCCATCTAGAGGTCACTGAGTTATTTGGATTTGAACTTGGGTGACGTATGTTGTGGAATGTTAGTTGAAGACGTGTTGCGCTTGTTTATGCTGTGGGACACTTGTTTAATGATGCAAAGATGTGTTGCATTCATTTTTTTATTTTTTATTGTTTTTATTGAGCTATATATTTTTCTCAACTCCCCTCCTTTACTCTCCCCTCCCCTCCTACCTTCTCCCATGGTCCCCATGCTCCCAATTTACTCAGGATATCGTGTCTTTTCTACTTCCCATATAGATTAGATCCATGTATGTCTCTCTCAGGGTTCTCTTTGTTGTCTAGGTTCACTGGGATTGTGAATTGTAGGCTTTTTTTTTTTTTTAACTTTATGTCTAAAAGCCACTTATGAGTGAGTACATATGATATTTGTCTTTCTGAGTCTGGATTATTTCACTAAAAATATGATGCTTTCTGGATCCACCCATTTGCCTGCAAATTTCAAGATATCATTTTCCTTATCCATTCTTCAGTCGAGGGGCATTTAGGTTGTTTCCAGGTTCTGACTATGACAAACAATGCTTCTTTGAAAATAGTTGAGCACATGTCCTTGTGGGACGATTGAGCATCCTTTGGGTATATACCCAAAAGTGGTAGTGCTGGGTCTTGCAGAGGTTGTTTCCTAATTTTCTGAGAAATAGCCACACTGACTTCCAAAGTGGTTGTACCAGCTTGCATTCTCACCAGCAATGCAGAAGTGTTCCCTTTTCCACACAACTTCTCCAGCATAAGCTGTCATCAGTGTTTTTATCTTGGCCATTCTCTCAGAGTTGTTTTGGTTTACATTTCTCAGATGGCTAAGGATGTTGAACATTTCCTTAAGTGTTTTTCAGTCATTTTAGATTCCTCTGTTGAGAGTTCTCTGTTTAGGTCTGTACCCCATTTTTTAAATTGGATTCTTTGTTCTTTTGATGACCAATTTCTTGAGTTCTTTAAATATTTTGGAGCTCAGACTTCTGTCTGATGTGGGGTCGGTGAAGATCTTTTCCCATTCTGTAGGCTGTCGTTTTGTCTTGTTGACCATGTCCTTTGCTTTACAGAAGTTTTTCACTTTCAGGAGGTCCCATTTATTAATTGTTTCTCTCAGTGTCTGTGCTACTGGGGTTATATTTAGGAAGTGGTCTTCTATGCCAATGTGTTCAAGTGTACGTCCCATTTTCTCTTCTATGAGGTTCAGTGTGTTTGGTTTTATGCTGAGGTCTTTGATCCGTTTGGACTTGAGATTTGTGCATGGTGATAGATATGGATCTATTTTCATTCTTCTACATGTTGATATCCAGTTATGCCAGCACCACTTGTTAAATTTGCTTTCTTTTTTCCATTTGTTTTCCATTTTATTCTTTTATGTTGCACTTGTTTGACTCTGTGATGCTGTTATTTTGCCTGTCTAAAACACCTGATTGATTTAGTACAGAGCTGAACAGACCGGAGAGATCCGGATAGGCAGGGCTGCCAGGCAGAGAGAATAAATAGAAAAAAAAGAAGAGGGAAGACTGATCAATCTCAAGAAGAGCAGAAAAGGACAGGAGGATGCTAGGGGCTAGCCACCCAGCCGCATAGCAGACACGAAATAAGAGGGAATAAGAAAAAAAATATACAGAAATATAGAAAGTTAAAAAGCTCAGAGGCAAAAGGTAGATGGGATAATTGAATAAAAGCTAACTAGAGATAAGACAAGCTAAGGCCGGGCATTCATAAGAAAGAATAAGTCTCTAGTGTGTCCCCCAAAGATCCAAAAGAGTAAACAAAATAAACCAACCAAACAAACAAACAAAAAAACCGACTCCAACCATAAGACCTAAACCACATAACCTAGTCCTCTGAAGAACATTGTGCCTGTCCATGAAGCTGCCACTGGATGGGAGCTCTCATGATGCTTTCTTCCTCTGCAGAGACAAGGACGGGCAGTGGTTCCCTGTTTTCTGTTTTTTCCGCCATTGCGGCCATCATCATCAACTTCACTTGAGCTGGCTGAGCTGGCTGACTGTTTCCTTGCCCCTGTCAAGCCTTGAAAGGGAGAAGCCTCCCAGGATTCTCATACCCTTAAGGTCTGGGGAGAGTAAGGAAGACTATAGCTTCCAAGTAAACCGGTAGAGGGCTTGTCTAGCATGTAGGTCCTCGGACTTGATCCTCGGGACTATATAAACCTAGCGTGGTGATATGGTTCCATAAACCTAGGGCTCAGGAGGTAGAAGTAGAAGGAGCTGAAGTTCGAGATCATTCTTGGTTGGATAGCAAGTTCAAGCCAGCCTGGGCTAGAAACCTTGTCTTAAAAATAATAAGCCTGGTATGGCTGGCATACATACCTTTAATGTCTACGCTTGGCAGGGAGAGCTCTGTGAGTTTCAGCCCAGCCTGGTCTATACAACGAGTCCCATGCCAGCCAGGGCTCCATAGTGAAACTGTGACAAAACAAACAAACAACCCCCCCAAAAAATAATAAGCAATCAAATAAGCAAAACTGAGCCTCCCCCACCCGGCTGTCAGCTCAGGCCGTAGAGATTCATCCTGGGAGACTTCCTGTCAGGATCACCGTGAACCTCCTACCAAGGTCAGCAGTGGCCTCCAGCAAAAGCCACAGAGAGGGGGCTTCTGGCCCCAGAGCTAAGCTCCAACCTTCAACTGTGTTGTTAAGAAGGCTACAGGGACAGGCCCTGGGGTTCTGAGGTCCCACCTGCTGCGACCCTCACCCCTCTATTCTGGTGAAGTTCTAACAGGCCTTGGTCTACCGTTCCACTGCAGAGGACAATAGTCACCGTCCGGGTGATCACCAGTATCGCTCTCCCCTGCTCTCCCCTGTCGTAGCCTCAAAACACCTGCTTTCTCATTTGTATTCCTAGCCTGTGCTCCCAGCTCGATGAACCTCCAGACAGGAGCACAGCCATCTGAATCATTTGCAGCAATCTGGCCAGCCCCGTTGCAAAACACCCTGATGGTACCCACCCAGGTTTCCCATCTTAAAGGTTTGATTTTTTTCCAAGAGAAGCTTTAATAGATTAATTAGTTCTTCGAGTCTCTTGGGGATTTGGCAAATGCACAATGTTGCATTTGTACAGACCTGCAGTATAAAGGGACCAGTGTTTCTTCACTGAAGCGAGCCAATGTGACATTCACACAAGGGGCAAGCCAGAGTCCAAATCAAGCGTCCAAATCAAGTGTGCTGGTGTGAGGTGAGGATGGGCTGGGAGGTGAATTCACGCCTTGCTTATCCTCAGGCCCTTCGGATAAAGTTTGTCAGAGAACAGATGGGAACATGTTCCTGCACAGTGGGCGTGACTGATTCCCCATCTCTGAGAAGTTACGCTACAGGGCTGGGCTCAGAACGACTGGTATCACTTTTCTGAGAACTACAGTTCTCGCTGGCACGGTCGGTGGGGTGAAAGTGTCTGTGGAGGTATTGATGGATTCGTTCAGCCTGCTGAGGTTTCCACTGCCCTTCACCGAGAAGTGATGTTGTCCTTAGGACTCCGCGAGTCATCAAACTTCACAAAGGAATTTCTCCTTTCAAAGCATTTGCTCAGAGTTGGGAGAGGAGCTGGGGAGATGGTTAAGAGGACTTGCTGCTCTTCCAGAAGACTCAAGTTTGGCTCCCAGCACCCATGTCAGGAGGCTTATAACCACCTGTAACTCCGGTTCCCGGGGACCGGACACTCTCTTCTGGTCTCTGTGGGCATCTGCACTCACGTGCACAAAATTTAAAATCAAATAAGTCATTAAAAAATGTTTTCTTGGGCTAGCAAGGTGCTCAGGGGGTAAAGGCACTTACCATCAAGTACAAGTTTGGTCTTACCATCAAGTACAAGTTTGGTCGCCGGGACCCACAAGGTGGGAGGACAGAACCTTCAGCTCTCACCAGTTCTCTTCTGACCCCCACAGGCTTGTCATGGCATATGTGCTAGTATACATGTGCACACACACACATACATACATACACACGCATACACACACACCTTAAAATAAATACCTAATTAATTTAATTTTTTTTCTTTATTTTGAAAAAAATTTCTATCTTTGGCGATTTAAAAATATAGGTAATAGATAAATTCAATTTTTAATCAAGAGGTCCAACACACACAACAAATAAATAAATACATGTAATAAAGTATTTTCTAAATGCTTTCTTCATTTAGATGTAAATATCCCTGGTGGCTTAAAAAAATACAGACTGCAGGGCCTGGAGAGATGGCACAGCAGTTCGGAGCACTGGCTGCTCTTCCAGAGAACCTGGGTTCAATTCCTAGCCCACACATGGCAGCTCACAACAGTCAGTAACTTTGGTTCCAGTGGAT